AGAACGTGGAACTCGCTCTGAAGACCGCTGGTGGGAAGGGTTGGTCGCAGGTGTTCCGCGTAAACTCTTACCACATTCCTATGGACAATGAGGCCTTGGGGGCTATGGTGCGGAATTTCAAAAAATGGATGCCGGACCATCAGCCTATCTGGACGTGTGTTGGCGTTGTCAAACTAGGCGAGGATGCTATGAGGGTGGAGATTGAGGTGTCGGCTCATGATCCTCAATAGAGGATGGTGGTAGAAGATTCGATGAGAGACTGTTGGACGCGTCCCTCACGGAGCCGTGGATGGATTCAAAAGGACGACCTTTGTAGCCTTTGCATGCGAAATTCGATCTCTCCTACGAGCACATCCTGATTTAAAGAGCTCAATTCGAATAGTGCTTAGTTTGCATCGATGCGATATGGCGTGGGTAGCGATGCGTGATGTGGAAGGTGTGGACTCAGGATGGAACACGTGAAAGGGCGATGAGGCTTGCCAAGACCATCGGCGCAACTATCGCCGACGGGATTCTTCCAGTTCTAGCTCTTGCGACGCGCTCAGTACTCCACGCGCAACTTCGCTACCAACCCCATTACTACGAATCTTCCATCTCTGCGCCCAGACGAGCACCTTGTACACGATGCCGAAGTTCTTCTGCGACTACTGCGATGTCTACCTCACCCACGACAGTATGAGCGTGCGGAAGGCGCACAACAACGGCCGCAACCACCTCCGCAACGTCCAGGCCTACTACGAGCAGATATCGAGCGACCAGACACAGCAAGTCATCAATAGTATTACCGACGCATACAACACAGAAGGACAGGCCAACCCGCTGTTCCAACAGAACCTGGCTGGTGGCTTCCCTGGCGGACCCATGGGCGGAATGCCTCCAATGGGAATGCCACCGATGGGTATGCCTGGATTCCCGCCGCCAGGAATGCCGCCCATGGGTGGAATGCCTCCAAACTTCATGGGCCGCGGAGGTCGTAAGTTGCCGCATAATTACCACACACGATCCAATACTGACAGCGCGACAGCTCCAATGGCACCCAACGGAATGCCACCCTTCCCTCCGCCAAACGGTATGCCCCCGGGCCCTGGCGGTATGCCGCCCTTCCCTCCACCACACATGGGAGGTGGCCCACCCCACGGAATGCCGCCTTTCCCCTTCCCACCACCAGGACAGGCAGGCTCACCCCCTGGAGGTATGCCGTACCCACCACCAGGTGGTATGGGAATGCCACCTGGAGGACCTCCTGGCAGATACCCTCCTGGACCACCGGGACGTTAGGAGCGACCTGGTGCACATGGAGGAATGATACCTGTCTTTGGTCACGACAACTACGCAGCTGAGGCCCTTGAGGGCATGAAAAGGAAGAGGCAGAACGATGAAGATATACCCGGAGTTTCCATGAGGGGTGGTGGACGAGAAGGAGGTGGAGCAGCTACGGGCGCGAATGCTATAGTCCCGACACGGATCAAGAGGGCATAGCGCAGTCGGGGACCATACGCTAGGGGAAGCGAGAGTAGTCAGACGGCTGTGAAGGCACATGGGAACAAGTACGTCCCATCTCCAAGCTGTCGCGATGCTTTCGGCTCACGCTCATGTAGTATTACTTGTCAAAAGGTTTATCAGTAATTACACGTCATGCGAATTACTAAATCTCTATCGGAATTCACAACACGCTCATCGCTTTCAGTTGCCGACCACCTTCTATCTACTGAACAGACTTTTCGCAAACGTTTCAACATCCATCATGTCCATGCCCAAGGCCTTGTTCACCGTCCTGTCCATCTCCCACGACACACCATCCCGAGCGAATACCAGCCTATACTTCTTGATACCATCTCCTGGCGCCGAGTCAAGCTCGTTCTTCAAATGCTCAAGACTCCACGCCTCTTGCTCAACCTGCTTCCCGCTCACCCGCTTGACGATGTCAATCAGCTGCCCATAACTAATCGTATCACCCGCAATATACAACACACGGTCCTCAGCTTCCACATCCCCCGCTATGACTCTCGCCAACACCCGCCCAATATCGTTCACATCCGTCACAGTAACCTTGTGATCCCAGTCTCTCAAACACCTCACCACCACTTTCCCTTCCTCCTCTTTACTCCTATCCACGATCCCCCAAAACTGCTCGAAAAGGAAAGACATGAAAATCCCCGTACTGACAACAGTCCACTTGACATTACTCGCCTCAGCCTTCTGCCGCAACAAATTCCTCACATCCCGCTGCGCACCAAACAAAGGCATCATCCCCTCTCCATCACCAATGACATCGTAATCGACACCCCACTGCCAGGGAAAGAACCATAGTTTTCCTTTCCCCTGCTCTTTTTTTATTCTGCCAGCCAACAGGGCTTCCTCGGCGAGTTTGAGGACGCTGCTGGGGTCGGCGCCGAAGCCTGTTGCGGAGATGAGGATGTCGTATGCGGAGAAGGTTTTGGCGAGGGAGGGTGAGGGTGAGGATAGGTCGATGGTTGTGAGGGAGATGTTGGCAGATTGCAGGTGAGTGCATTTGGATGGTGAGCGGATGCCGATCGTGATGTGGGTGTTGGGGAGGGCGGAGAGGTGCGGGAGGAAGGCTGTGCCTAGTTCGCCGGCGCCGAGGAGGAGGTTGGTGGTTTGGGGGGAGGTCATTTTGGAGGAATGTTTGATGGTGTGGTATGCGAGTATTATGAGATGGATGTTAATTGAATGGAAGCAAGTGAAGGATATCACGTTAGGTAGAGCCTGCTTCTTATATGGACGTGGGTATAAGTCATCATATTAGATTGAGGATAAGAACAGGTCGTCATCCATCACATGCGAGGTATGCTGTTCTATACTTTTGTACATGTTTCTATGGTGGGGAAGTAGCGCGGAGATAAGACGTGGGAGATCGGACTTAGTCGGCTTTGGATGGAAGAAGTAGTAAACAGGGAAGGAACGAGTAGAGATGTTTTGCCTAGCCTTAATAATGCACTGGTATGATCCTTCAGAAAACGAATTAACGTGAATGGTCATCTAATTCAGGCGACAATATGGCACGTATTACACAGGTGAGATACGCGCAAGGAAGTTGACCCCTCCATACCTGACTTTGGAGTGAGATGCCGAGAATGGAATATTGCGTGAACTGGCGTCAAGCGGTGAACTACTATTCGTTAGGACTGTATCACTCACTACAGGTACTTTGCTAGTGGCTTGACAACGTCATGCCCAGGTAAGGTCAAACGTCGAGTAAGGGCTCCTGTGCTGACGGTCCACGCTAAGCCCAAACGACGCTAGTGGTTCGCCTATCAACCTTGGAATTTTGAAGCCTCCAGCCTTTGTGCGCAGTGCTCTTCGACGAACAACTATTAACACCCGAGTGCGCCTACGTCCATCCCAAGCAGAAGCCACTCATCGCAATCATGGCCGAGCAACTCGTACTCCGTGGCACCCTCGAGGGCCACTCCGGCTGGGTCACCTCCCTCGCTACCTCCCTGGAGAAGTGCGTATACGCGGGAAGAGGGAAAATGCACGAATGCGCAATACTGACACGCGATTAGCCCCAACATGCTCCTGTCCGGATCGCGCGACAAGACTCTGATCATCTGGAACCTGACCCGCGACGAGACCTCCTACGGCTACCCCAAGAGGAGTCTGCACGGTCACTCCCACATTGTCTCCGACTGTGTACGTTCACCACAAAATTGGGCAATTGGCTAGCTAGGACGCGGGGACAGCTGAGCTGACAATTGCTGCACAGGTCATCTCCTCTGACGGCGCCTACGCTCTTTCCTCATCGTGGGACAAGACCCTCCGCCTCTGGGAGCTCTCCACCGGTGTCACCACCCGCCGCTTCGTCGGCCACACCAACGACGTTCTCTCCGTCTCCTTCTCCGCCGACAACCGCCAGATCGTCTCCGGATCGCGCGACCGAACCATCAAGCTCTGGAACACCCTCGGTGACTGCAAGTACACCATCACCGACAAGGGCCACACCGAGTGGGTCTCGTGCGTCCGCTTCTCCCCCAACCCCCAGAACCCCGTCATCGTCTCTGCTGGTTGGGACAAGCTCGTCAAGGTGCGTACATCCGCGTTTACACCAACTCCTCCGTTTCCTTGTTTATATGATGAATATCTATGTATTTGCTACTTCAGAGCTTCGGCTATGAGACAATTATCACCTAGTACTGATTTACGCTACTCCACTCGATCTGCTTCAAGCCACTTCAAATTCGGGAAGCTGACAATATCCAGGTCTGGGAACTCGCTTCCTGCCGCATCCAGACCGACCACATCGGTCACACCGGTTACATCAACACCGTCACCATCTCGCCCGATGGCTCCCTCTGCGCCTCCGGTGGCAAGGACGGAACCACCATGCTGTGGGACCTGAACGAGTCCAAGCACCTCTACTCTCTCTCCGCCGGTGACGAGATCCACGCCCTTGTCTTCTCCCCCAACCGCTACTGGCTGTGCGCTGCCACCGCCTCCAGCATCATCATCTTCGACCTCGAGAAGAAGTCCAAGGTTGACGAGCTCAAGCCTGAATACATGGAGGTTGGCAAGAAGAGCCGGGAGCCCGAGTGTGTCTCCTTGGCCTGGAGCGCCGACGGCCAGACCCTGTTCGCCGGATACACCGACAACCGTATCCGCTGCTGGGGTGTCATGGCGAGGGGATAAGGTAGTGCATGTTGGGTAGTGCAACGGGGCGTAACGGGAAAATCACGATTCCACATCTTCTGTAGCATGCCATGGGTTATGATTGATGCTCATGCGGGATGGGTTTGGGACTCTTCCGGCATTACCACGTCCAGGCGCTTAGAGTCAATGAAAATTCTCAAGTCCAAAAGTGGTTGCTTGCCATGCGTGGTGGTTTATGTCTTCGTATGTGGGCTATGGAATGTTAGGGTTGCTCACTGAGACGTCCTCCGCGACGAATGAAGTGTCTCGCTGCTCGGATATGATATGGGATAAAAGTCTTTCATATGATAATCGCATCCCAGGTTCTTTCCAAAACATGCGCGATTGCCTTTCTACAGCTTGCTGAACTTGGGGCTCGTCTTCTTCAACCCACTCATCATGGCATCCTTGACATCGGCGGTCTGCAACATAGCCGCATTCCACACAGCCGTGTAGTTCAAGCCCTCACTAATCGGCCTATCCCTGGAGTAGTTGATAATCTCCTTCGTCCCCAGCACCGCCACAGGCGACTTGGACGCAATCAACGTCGCCAACTTGGTCGCCTCCGCAACCGCCTCCTGCTTATCCCTGTACACCTTCGACACAAGCCCATGCTGCAACGCCTCATCCGACCCAAAGATCCTCGCAGACAACGCAATGTCCTTAACCCAGGACAGGTTTCCAACAGAATGAGGAAGCCGAGATAAAGTACCAATATCAGCCGCAAGTCCTATATCCACCTCCTTCACACTAAACCTCGTCGTCGTCGTACTCACACGGATATCACATGCTAGTGACATATCCAGCGCCAGACCGAAGGACACGCCGTGCAACACGCAGATAACGGGCTTCTCGCATTTCTCGATGTCGGTGATGCAGGATTGGAATTCTAGGATGTGCCTGCGGAGCGCGTTGGCTTTGCGCGCGGAGTCCAGAGTGTCTGTTTGGGAGGATAAAGCGCCGCCTTCTGAGGCTGCTTGTACGTCGAGGCCGGCGGTGAAGGCGCGGTCGCCGGACCCGGTTAGGAGGACGGCGCGGATGGAGGGGTCGTGGGAGAGTTGGCGGAAGATGGTGGAGAGGTTTAGCCACATGCTACAGGGGTTAATCGGGTGGTTCTTAAGTTGGGGTCGTGAGATGTGTGCGTCATATGGCGTATAGGCTATACACGATTTGGAGATAATCCATGAACACCATATAGCATAGATGTCCCCAGCAATTCGCGACATTGGTATGATTCCTTCCCGTCTCTTTCATGATGACACGTGATACGCGTGGGTTCCGAGGCCATAGACCCGGACCTTCCGTAAAGCAAAGGAAATGTTGTTTACTCACACCTCTTTGAAAGCATTCAGCTTCTCCGGCCGATTAATCTCAACATGCGCAACATATTCCGCAGGGAAGGAGACGTTGAAGAACTCTTTCTGGTATGCTTCCGCCATTGTTGCTTTGTGATCGCGTGGTTCCGCCGAATGCCTGTCGTAATTCCTTGCTCTTTCTATTCTCTTGTGAAGCTGTTATAATCTTCCTGCTCGAAAAGCTGAAAGCAACTATAAGGGTCAATGCCGATACGTCCGTAAGATGAGGAGTGAGATGTTGTCGGCTCCGATGACCTGGGCGGGCGAGTCGTTCGGTTGGAGCTTGTGGAGATCGAGCCGAGGTAGAACGAATACGGCTAGCGGATTGCCAGATGCGATACCGAGCGGATCGACCTTCAACGGCCTACGCGCAGAGGGATAGCGAACCTTGAAATGGGCGTGCCACCCTCGAAACAACCAAAGATATCTGGAAGACGATGTCACAATGGTAGGTGAAAGACGCGTGACCTCTTTAAGGCTATAGCAAACGCTATGACATCTCACCGACGCCACGATACGACGATGCCGCCCATGACCTTTTCCATCGCATAGCGTGCCTGGGTATCAACCTCCCGGCTAATGGACTATTCAATATCAAAGAAAGATATCTCATCACTCCCATGCTATTTGCAGGTTTTGAGATCATGTCTGCGTGAGGAGCAGCAAGATATTCCTGACGGCAAGGCTGTGGCTGCCTAGTCATCTGACAATGCTCAGCCTGATGCGCGCTTTCTCATCACTCCATATCTAGATGTCCTTTGAATCATCGGCTCAATGCGACCGCTAGACAGTCGCAGATCTGTACTCGTTCTATCATCAAAACCAACTTCAACCGTCTCACTACATCGACTGCGATAACCCAGAGGCGACCCAAAGACGACGAGCCAACCCCACGTCCCGCATTTCATACGACTCATACGCGAGGAGATTCTCTACGAAAGAGAGAAGTATCGTATCTCCAACAACCTCACAACATTGACTGAGAGTCGTCATGTCGTTCTTTGCAAATTACTTTGGGCCATGGATCTGCTTTCATTGCGGAGGAGAGAACGAGGGGCAAGCACAGTGCCAAGAGTGCGGGTCTGACAGATCTCGCCATAGTGATGGGGTTTTCCGCAAGACTATATCAGAAGCAGAGCAGACTCAATGCAATCCTCAGGTGACGTTCATCAATCAATCATTCAAAGAGTTTCCAGCCAAATCCGATCGCAATGAAGATACCGAGCTTCAAACCCCAGCATCAGTCGAGGCCGCGGACAGCGTACTTGTGGCTTCACAGAAACAGCAACAGATACTGGAAGATCGAGAGGATGGCGGATCCGTCATATCTACAACATCGGATTCTTTGGACTCCGTGTTCTCTGTAGAGTCCTCAGACACTCTCGCCACGGCACTTACGAGAGAAAGCGGGTTCTCAAACGAACAGATACAAAGGGCTATACGGATCTTCGTGCTTACACTACAAAATGACGAGCTACTAGCACCTCTGTATGAGCATGCGCGCAACAATACCAGAATTGGACCCAATAGACTACGGAGACACATCCGTGGAGCTATCAAAACGTTTGCGGAGCAGCTCAAAGAAGAAGCGACCGATTATCTCCAACATGCAGCTTCCCGCCTCGTCCAGGCAAAGGCAAATTATGCCGCTCGATGCATCGCCAGTGGAGATGACAGACTAGTCAGATCTCCAGGGTCTGGAGAGCCCCTCCGCTTGTCCATCCATGATCTTGAAGATAGCTCCGAAGAAGAGACGGTGGAACGGCAAGTGGAGCACACAGGATTGGAAGATTTGTACGCTTTCCGCCTGTTCTTAACAGATAGCGACGCTTATACGACGTTGCAAGCGGACATACTCGCCTTCTGCACGAAGCAATCGACTCCACCACAGAATCTACCGGCTATCGAAAAGTCAAATCTATTACCGTCAGCTATGTCTAAGAATGACATGAAACATACATGGTCTTCCTGGAAGAAAGATACCGAGGCTCTGGCGGGCGGCCTGTTGTTAGGCTTTGATCGGTCACTTGGAGCAAAAGCCGCGATGTTTCTCCTGCTAGACGTCTTCTTCCTGTTGACGGATGACACGCTCGTTGCCTTGGGGTGGTTAGAGCCTCCGTTGGGAGTAGGTTGGACGCGTCTAAGAAGTCAATGCGTAAGCTTTTGCAGTGAGTGTGTCCAAAGTGAACTTCACTGACATTACGGGTAGAGCTGTGGCGATGGCTTCTTTGACGATGTAATCGAGCGAAGAACTGATGGCGTTGAAGTGTTGGTACAAGAGGTACAAAAGTCCCTACCGAACGTCAAACTTACAGTTGTTCCTCATCAAGCCGGCTTCGACATCCAACAGTACACCAATAGGGTCTCAAGATGGTTACGTCACGTTAGTAGCCGCGTTCTCACAGCAGTCTTGTGGCACAATCGGAACCATGCTGGTCTACCTCAGCACACCGCCGGTGGCACAGCAATTCCAAGTGGCTTAGGGAACACGAGTAGCCCACAGCAACAACATGGCTCGCTGCACTTGATGTCATGTGTACATCGGAGCCGTGAACATACAGTCTTACTTCAGAATGACGTCCGCACTATCAACAGCGACCAAGCGCTGTTCACATGTCTGAAATCGAAAATCTCGCAGCGTCGCAAACGTCTTCTGCTTGCTCTATCATTCCGTTGCATCAAGGGAATCTTCTTTAGCAAGGTGAGTCCATATCCAACACCAATATTGTATATTGCCATCTGATCTGCACATAGTTCCTCGTCACTATAAGTGGACACGTAGAGATCCGCCACCACGATCCATGCTGTCGAAATTTTCGTCTACAAGCTGAAGGTTGTGAATGTCTTCCCCCAATGGAAAAGATTGAACCCTTTCCAAATGCCGAGTACCGATGCACTCTCCCCTATCCGCCAGAAACCTGGCCACCGGTGGGATCGTCAATGCTACTTCATATGCTTAAATGCCCAAACGAGATCGACAAGACATCGACGTGGATCTACAACTTGGTACCAAAACGCACTACGGGAGAACTGTTCGGATACGCTGGCCAACCAGCCGTTGGATGGGGTTTCTATTTCCAAGAAGGCTGGAACTTTGACCTCCTCATCACGATCATATTTGTTCTGTTTCTCGTAGGAAGCTTGGTATTCGGAGTATGCTGGTCAGTGTTGAAGTATGATGTCCAGGGTGCTTTCGGAGTGAGCGCATATATGGTGGCTGCATGTAGTCTTTTCGTAACTTTTGTGGTGAGTAAAATGGAATAGGGGGTGAAGACAATCCAGCAAGAGGGGCACGAGGGGTATACAGAAAGCCTAAAATTAATGTATTAGAAACGTACATATCCCGCCGCAAGCAGCGCTAACATGCAACATCTACCAAGCCTAAACAAACGAAATCACCTCCTCCCCTCCACTCAACCCATCAACATCTACCTAGGTCCAAAAGGCCTCGGTCCAATAATCTGCCTCTTCCCCGCCCCAATCCCCCCCAACTTATTCTGATTATCCCCACCCATATATCCATACTGATTAACATCCCAGCTCTGGCCTCCACCAGTCCCCGCATTAGGATCCTTAGCAGCTTCTTGCAGCGCACGCTGCGACTCTTCCCACTCCTTCTGGCGCTCGCGTTCGCGCTCCATTTCGCGTTCGAGGAGGGACTTGCTGGCCCAGCCGGCGGCTTTTGTCTTTGTTTGAGCGGCGGCGCGGCGGGCGTCTTCGCCGCGTTGTTCGGAGGTGGATGTGAGCTCGGGTGGGATGTAGGTTTGGGGTTTTGGTGGTGCTGGCGCGGGGTTGGAGGAGAGGTATCGGTCTGTTCGGCTCTGCTTTGTGTATGCGGCTGGGTCGGGGAGCGGTCGCGTGCTCGGTTCGGGTAGAGGACGTGTAGGCAGAGAGGGCGCTGCAGGTTCGGGGAGGGGTCGTGCTGGCTGTCTCTGTGTCTGATCCCATTGCTTGCGCAAGTACTCGCGATCATCTGCTTGCGCCCATGAGACGTTGCTATCTTGTGGCGAGGGAGCGCGGGGTGGAGGCGCTGGTCGGGCTCGACTCTTGGATCGCTCACGCGTACGGCTCTTAGACCGCGACCGCACCTTCTTGTCTGACAGGCGTCCTTCCCGCTCTGCCTGGTACTGGCGCTCGCGTTCCTTGGCCTCTTCAAGCTGGCGCTCTAACTCTCGTATGCGATCGCGCTCAGCGTTGGGCTCTTCGCTGCTTCCTCGTCGACTCCGCGGCGACCTGACCTTCTCAGCCTGGTATTCGCTCAGGTACTGCCCCTTCAGCCTGGCATCACTTCCAGCGCGCTTTCGTCTCGTCTCGGCGTCGATTCTATCCTGTGCCTCGCGCTCTTCACGTTGGCGTTGCTCCTCCTCCAGCTTCCACTGGCGCTCTTGCTCTTCCCACTCGCGCTTCTGTTGATCCAGTCGCGCCTGCTTGGCTTCTTGCTGTTTGCGTGTCTCCTCTTCCCACTTCTGCTCCTCCTCTACCCGTATGCGCTCTTCTTCGGCTTCGCGTTCGACGCGACGTATGTTCTCGGCCTCCTCAGCTTGCAAACGTAGTCGCTCTTCTTCGGCTGCCCTCTCGCGTCGCAGTCGCTCCTTCTCAGCCAGGTTCGGCACGTGCGGGCCTGCGCTCGTGATTTGCCGCCGGCCACCAAATGAGATGCCCTGATTGCCTTGACTCGCACCGCCCATGTATCCGTACTGATGAATGTTCCATGCCGGTGCTGTGCTGCCTTCGTCGACCTTCTTGCTCCAGCTACTGACTCCGCCCGGAGGTGACTTGGGGAGACCGTTGGATGTGTATGATGTGTCTGAGCCTCCGGTGCGTGCAGCACTAAGCGTCGATGCTGTCCGTTCGGCAGGAGGTCGCGCAAGGGGGTTGAATGTGCTGGAGCCGCTGGTGTTGCTGGCTGTGCTAGGTCCCCTGCTGCGTGGGAAGCCGGGAGAGGGCAGTGCAGGACTCGGCATGCCGCCAGTTGCCGTTGGGCTCAATGCGCCTGCTCCACCGCGCTTTGGGCCGATGGCGTTGGGGAAGTTGGACGGGCTCTTCGCGTTGGCGACACGGCTGAAGGCACCGAGACACTGCAGCACCTGAGCAGGATCCTTTGATTCGTAGAGGTCGACGGTGAGGAAGCGGTCATGGGCGGGCATGTTCAGCGGTGGCTGTTCACACGCCCGAAGGAAGTGCGAGATGTTCTCCATTTGTATGAAGGGCATATTCGACTTCTTGAACCGGACAGGCGTGGGTATGGCAAGATTGATGAGTCTGGAGAAGTCAGCTATACTGGCCCGGCTACCTGGTAACTGCGGGATCACTGTACCTGCATAATACGGTCCCATCCTTGAGCGCATCAAGCAGATCTCCCGCGGGCAGGCGCTCTCCGAGTGTGTCTTCTATCCAACTGCGGACTTCGTTGGCTGCCTGAGGGGTGTATCTGTCCATCCGCAGCCTCCGCATGTCCTGGTCCAGCGACGTTACAGACGCCATTGTGGTTGGTTTGGGCGCAAATCAGGCTTGTTGCTGTTGGGCACGAAGGTCGTGTGGGTGGTGACAGGAAGGGTGCACGAGGTATAGGAGTGAGATATGATAATGTATATGTCTCTATGTAAGGGCCTCGACTGCTACGTGTGTTGTTGTGGCGTCGGGGTATGCAATGATGGCATGTGTTGTTGTGTGGAGAAACTTGGTGGTGGGGGGAATGCTTGCACATGTGCTAACGTGAACGCACCAGCCACTCGCCCCAACGTCACCGGCCTGCGCGTCAAAGTCGCCTCCAGATATTCGCCCGCGGGAATTTGTTCGCGGCCCAACGAGACTCAGCATGGCGGGAGCACCGGGTGCAATTCGCAAAGCATGGTACCAATGGAAGATGAAGCGCTTCCCCTGGCGAAAGAAGTGGCTTGTGGGTGAGTGCAGGCCTCGACATAGGTCTCTGGCGTATCCTTGCTTCCAAGTAATAACACTTCGCAGGCTTTGATCTCCAGGGCAACACCTTCTGGGAATTCAAAGACGCTCTGCACGCCCTGCGCAACCGGCGGATCGCAAAATACAGTCGCAGCACTCACTATGGCGACGTGCAAATATCGCGTTCGTGCCTTCCACATGCAGTGTTTGACCGAGGCTGACTGTGGCAGCGTCATGGATGCAATGGCTGAGACACACGCGCTACGAACCCCCCACCGTCGCCGAACAACACCAGGACATGATGAGGCAGGAGCGGATGAAGCAGCTGGCGGCACAGGCAGATGCACGATGGGCCGAGAAGCCGTCGGCGCTCGATGCGCCGGATAAGCAACAGCCCGTGCAAATGCTGCAGTCGCGAGACCCAGACAGCGGCGTCACGCAAATGAATGCCGACCAAGAGATACGCGACAGCATAGAGCCACCGCGGCCACTCGATCAGGAAGCCGCGAGACCAACGCCAGTAGAGCCCGAACAACCCGCAGAGCCTCAGCAGATGCCACGCGACCCGCCAGCGCCGCCTGCCGAAGACGACGCGCCTGCCTTCACATCTAGGAAGAGGATGAAGAAGGAGCCCAAGGACTCGCCATGGAAGCAGGCGGCTCAGAGTCAGGAATGGCAACCCCAGGGCTGGAGTCCAGCGCCATCCAAACGACGATCATGACCACGTTCAATAGCGACTGTACCACTATCTGTTTCAATACCTGGCAAACATCAGCAAGCATATGCGATATTCAATGTCACCAAAACACTGCTCTCTGTCCGATCAACAATTTCGTATTTTACAATGTCAAGATGATCCTCCAGGGCGCAGCGTCTGTCATGCCACGCTTCTCAACCATGGGTCAAATCTCAAGTCGATGCGAGCCTGGCGAAGCCAATTCCTCCGCCGGTCTCCGTCAATATCAATACCCAGCACATATTCGCACTCATGCTAACAACACTGTCGCTTACATATTTACAGTGCAGCAGTGCCATAAATTCACCTTAGTGCCTCCGCGTTTCCGCACGATGTCAGGTGTCGAGTATGAACTGTGGTACCGATTCACGAACCGGACTGTAAACCACGCGCAGTGACGAAAATCATACCAACGATGCGCTTAAGCAAGCGCTTTGTAACATATATATAGGCTCTCTATCCCTGTCTTGACGCCTATTCTCCAAGGCAGTATTCATAACCATGGCACCACTTTCAAGCATCGACGATGATATGACATTTCAAGTCGCTGCACAAAACCTACCCCCAGAACTACTCCTCATCGTACTAAATCATTGGCTCGGCCAACAACGCATCGTAATCGATGGCTCCGCCCATCCTCATTACACACTATCCTACACCAATCCTGAAAACATTGATCCTTTCGCCACCATCTCCCGAACCAGCGATGCACCATCATTCATTTTCCAAGAATACTTTCGGTCTCGGATCCGGTCCTGGCTGGCCGACTCCAAAGAGTTCTCCGACCCAACAACATTCTACATGAGCCATCTCCTGATGAGTTTGAAGATGAAGGACCGTATAGGCTGGTACTATCTGCCCAGTCAGCCATGGGATGCCATTTGCCAGGATCCGAAACTCTCCTTGTCGACGAAGTTTCCGGTAATTAGCGATCACGCTGCGCAATACGCTCGCATGAAGCATCTCTCCTCGCTCCACGGACTAGAGAAGATCAAACTCGATTTCACGGCTGAACAATACTTCGCCATGTTCGACGTCGCGGTACCACCCTTCCACTACCGCGATGGTGCAGTAGCCGGCGATAACTTATATCGCGACGAATTCTGCCATGGCGCCGGCCATTTCCTTTTGCACACGAAGGAACTAGAACTCCATTTCGGCGACGCATACAAGCAGGCAAACCCCTGGTACGACGTCCAAGAAGCTGCTTGGTGCGAGACAAATCCGGCTTGGAACTACGCTGAAGCAAGACTGCGCCCGCACGTCTGCGATAGTGGCTTGGTTATAGACTGGATATTGGAGTATGCTTGGTACAACGGGCACCTTCAACATATCAAGACGATTACCTTGACTGGCGATATCCAGCCGTGGGTGAAGGAGAAGTGGTATGATATCTTCAAGCGGCACGCTATGTACCTCGAGGAGTATCCTGGAATGTATTTCCGTATTTTCGCTGTGCATGAGCCTGATCCTATTGATTTGGAAACTATCGGTATAGACGACGAGGATGAGGACGAGCAGGATGAGGCGTGGAGGCCGCAGAATCATTATCCGCCGTCTTGTAGATGTGAAGTGGGGTGCTGGCGATTACGTGGTTGGAGAGTTGAGGAAGAGCTGGAGGTTAAGTCTTGGGATGAGTTTGAGAGGTTTTCTGATGATGTGGTGGGCGATTGGATGAGTGGTGTTCTTTTGGGATCACTTTGACGCCTACGGTGTCGAACTTATGACGGCCGCGCCGCCATATAGCAATTTCAAGTACATAGAGTCAGCGCACTCAGTTCTTTCGCTGTCAATATCGCAAAATCGAGAGAAAGTGAGGCAAAGATGGACAGCGAGGTAGAGCGATTGCAAGACAACAAACCTATCCTCGGCCCCCAGACACATTAGCCATGACGTCACCACCCGACCACCTTCCCGGGCCACGTCTGCACAACACCCCAAACCCGCAGCACAACTCGAACTCAATCGACCAAACATCTCAAACCCATCGTGCCGGCTTTCCCCTCTTCCGTACATTCCAATTACTCGCATCACCGATCCACGCGCCGTGGGTCTGGAGTTCTGTCGATCTGGCGCGCCTAGCCGCCGATCAGCATGAGTCGGCAGCCACGGCGTCCAGGTCCGCGGTGATATACACGATCTGACCAGTTGAGGTAGTGATTGACTACGGGTGACTAGGTGACTACGTGGGGACTATATGCCGGCTACGACTAGCTATGCAGGAACTACGCGGGACTATGCGAGCTACGTGACGCTATGGGAAGGCTCCGAGGCACGATTCGGGGCTCTAAGAGGAGGGTGAGGGGTCAGCGGGATTAGGGCTAAGTTCATTGGATGGATTGGGGGATGATGGGGAGGCACGGTAGTACCTGAGTAGTGGATGTGGGAAAGCTTAAGGACGGGATGGGCGTCTGTCGTGGAACGTTTTTGTGTTTACTATCGCTTCATTGACTGTACTTCAACATCCTTCCTCTGTGAGATTGCAGGGAAATATATACACCTCTCGAATCAACCGGAAACATGCGCTCTACAATCGTCACCACAGTGCTTGTCGGAGCAGGCGTAGTATCAGCAAAAGGCCTCCTAGATCTCCCACTCGACATAGCGAATCTACTCACTTCGCTCTCCCCGGCACCAGCAAGCGACCCCCGATGGACAAACTGGCATCCCGCTTCCAGCGGTGATGTACGCTCCCCCTGCCCCGGTCTAAACGCCCTAGCAAACCACGACTTCATCCACCGCAACGGGCGCAACATGACCATCCCGCACCTAATCGCCGGTCTCGCCGCGGGCCTAAACATGGGCGCAGACTTTACCACCGCCATAGGAGCCGCGGGTCTACTCTCCTCTCCCAACCCGCTAGGCGGCTCCTTCGACCTCGACGACCTGTCTATGCACAACTTCCCCATCGAGCACGACGCCAGCATGTCCCGCCAAGACGCGTACTTCGCTAACCCGCAGCCCTTTCACAACCCCACGTGGCAGCAATACATATCCTTCTTCAATGGGAAAGAGCGTACGGATATCCCGACGGCGAGTAAGGCGAAGTACGCAAGGACATTGGATAGTCAGAAGAGGAACCCGGAGTTTGTGTATGGAGCGAGAGAGGCGGTGCTGAGCTATGGCGAGAATGCGCTGTATCTGAGTACTATGGGCGACCCGGTTACGGGTAAGGCCAAACTTGAGTATGTGAGGAGTTTGTTCGAGATGGAGAAGTTGCCGTATGAGCTGGGGTGGAGGCCGAGTGTGCTGCCGACGACATTGCCCAGTTTGGGGTTGATGATTGTGCAGTTGCAGTCGAGTTCGCCGGAGCCGTTACTGGAGGGGGTTAAGATTGTGGCGTAAGTGTTCTTCCCCCGTGTCTTCTCGAATGGGAGATGTGTGCTAACGGTTGCTGCTAGGGATTCGTACAAGGATGTGTTCTTTGCTATTGTTGGGGGGTCGAACATCTTGGGTAACCTTACCGGAGGTATCAGTGAGGCGTTGGGATTGTAGAATATGCTGTCTCGGTGTTAGGGAGTAGGCTATGAATCGAACCTTATCCATTCAGCGTGCGAAGCCCATCCATGTCATCTCATCCGCATAACTGTTGAAATGCGGGCGTTGATGTGCCGCATGTGCTGGCCATCGTACTGGGAACTGTCTGTAGTAGCCAAATCCTGGCTGCCATGGGATATACTGCTGCTGATACCGAGCATGTTGATCAGGCGCATACATATGCCCACTACCCTGGTATTGCTCAATCCATGGTGGTGGTTGAGGCTGACATTGCTGATACGGAGGTATTTGTTGACCCTGCGACCACCGTGTATACTCCCCGGGATATCCATGGGCGAACGCTGGCTGAGCGTAGTTCTGGTGTCGTCCCCACCAAAATGCGTATAGACGTTGTTGCCACTGGTTCTGGTACGCATGGTAGTTGCCAGGCTGCCCCAACGACCTGTCGGACGCATCGTGGCCAGCTTCGTAGGCATCAGAGGAAGTCAGGTTGTAGCACTCAGCCCGTTCGATCATATCCTCGAGGTCGGCAGCAATTCTTTGTTTTCGTTGCGGCCTTGGTGCGTGGATTAATGTCTTGTAATCAGACTCGCAGAGTCTCCGGTCCCGGCCGTACCCTTCGTCTTCAGCAAGATGAGACGAAACCTGCGTCGGCAGCGTTGACTGATTCCCACTGGATGCCTCAGAGCTTGATCCAGAGTTACCAAAGTGGAGAGAGAAAAGGTCGGGATGTTGCGCCCAGTATCGTTTAGTCTTGTCGGTAGTTTCGTCGAAATCTTGCCGTGTTTGATCAGACATGTTGCTGAAATACCTTTCAGCCATCCATGCTGGCGAGTCGTGAACATGTTGTAAGAAGGCTTCATGCTTACGGGCTGCCTGGAATTCTGGGCAGTCTTGGTGGTCTGGCTTATCTGGGTGAATTTGCTCCACAACAACATTGTTGTGCTCTTGTATGGCAGGCGTGTTGGTGGGAGCAGCCTGGTTGCTCTTGGAAGCTGGGAGTTGAGAGAACATGATGCTGGTGGATGCGTGTTCTGCTTTCGAAAGTGTAAGCGCGTGATGTTGGTATGCGCGTGGTTGAGAAAGTGTCTGGCTTGGAGAGTGCACTTGAATGAAGATAGTCTGAAAGTCTTGGAGAGAAAGCGAACAAACAACCACTTTTACTGTGAAACGTGAGAGTTATTATATACATATCTCAATGCGAAGACGAAAGCTGCATTAACGCAACTATGGTTGACCTGCGATACGTTGGCCAATGCAGGGCAGTCACTCATACTGCCACAGTAAGCAAATCTTCCATTGTGATGATGCCTTGTAACCTAACCAAGGAACAGAGTTGAGAACCAAGGTAGCCGAAAAGAGTGGGTCGCCAACCGGAGCGCAAGCTTACAAAGGGCACGTGACGAGAAGTGTAATCGAGTGGTACAGTCACGAAGAGACCAGAGGAAGTAAGTAGAAAGTATTATTAAATTATGAAAGGTTCCAGACTTTTCGAATTCCAAAGCAGTGGACAACAAATGTTTAAAGAGAGGAAACAGAGGGTATCAAGGCTGTAAAGGAACGCCGCATGCTATGCGTGATGGAAAGCAACACTTCAACGAGGACAAGACAAAAACAGTACAGCAACATAATGGAAACGAAGCGAGGTCCACAAGCTTGCTTCCAATCATACCATGACCAAGTTTAAGGAGCGGCCTGGTCTACCAGAGGACAAAAGTCCCAAAAGCTTGGACGACTGCTGGAGTGACCGATGTGAGATGATATTCATCTGGCAATCTCCTTTCACTCGCCAAAATGTTCGCGCTCGCGACGTTTCGCCTCGTACTCCGCGTTGAACTGGTCCAGTAGGCCCGGAGCGTCGCCGCAAGTCGCAAAATGAGAGGGCGTGTTGTGTTCCGGCTTGTCTGGGTCCAGCGCACCACGCGGAATGCCGTACGCCATGTGAAGATTTGCAATCCGGCGCTTGTTGAAATGCTTCACCGAAGCCATCACGATACGCTTCTTTTGGTAGTCGTACCGAGCAGTATTGCTCTCCAACGAGGTGTCGGAGTTGCGGCGGTTGGCTGCCTTCTCGTCTTCGCTCTGGTATGAGCTTGCATCTGAGCTGGACTCTGACGGCGAGGCAGCACTGATCATGTTGGTGAAGTGGCCTTCGGAGACCACTTGGTCTGCTTGGCAGCCATATCCAAGCAAGATCTCACCATCGTGACCGCGGGGGAAGATGAGAGAGCAACCTTTGAGCTCCCATTCTATATCGCTCGCTTTCTGGAGCTCGCCCTCTATTTCAGTCATGTCGTCTGCCTCACCGATGGGCTCCAAGAACTCACAGTACGTCTCCTCAGCTTCCGAGAGCTTGACGTAATGGATGACCGGGGTCTCGATGGACGAGGCCCACCCAAGGACGATGTTCCGCTTTCGCTCTGGAAATATGTTCTTCAGCGCGACAGGGTCATTGAAGTGATGCTCCCCTTCGTCATCACTGTATTCGCTGATGATGTCGCAGATGCAGGTATCATCCACATCGGCAACATGCTTGCTGTTACGCAAAATGGCGCGCATCTTGGCCTGTAGAAGAAGGATGACGCTGCGGTCGTCAGATTCCAGGATTCGGGGGATATTCAATTCCTTCAGAGAGATCTTGCGCAAGGCCTTGTGTTCTTCCTCGGTCTTCGCGACGTCAGGAATTAGATCTTCGATCTTGACCTGCAGCAGGCGACCAGGTTCCAGAAGCGCAGCTGCGTTTAATTCAGCTTGCATCATCTTCTCGGCCTCTGGGGGCGCGTCGCGGCTCGCGGCGTGAATAGCAGCGCGAAGCCTCTTCGCGGGTGGTGCTCCTTTATGCTTGTTGACAACAGGGAAGACTTTCCTCAGGAGTATCTCATGCGCAAAGACATCGCTGTCGGGGTAGTCTTCCGAAAGTTCGAGCGCGACGTTGAACCAAGGCCTCAGAAGATAGAACTCTTCGTGCCATGGCGGGACGACCGGGAAGTCGGGGTTCTCGAGGAGCTTGGCCGCGAGAAGGCTGTAGTCCTTTTCCGCGACACGGCCGGCGGGGAAGTCATCCAAGAAGAGGTTGAACTTGTTATGGCGGCTCATCTGGTCAGCTGTGTGAAGCTTGACAGGAGACGAGTGTGTGGGTAGCTCCGGGACATGTAGAGCCCCCATCTCCAGTGCTAGCTCGATCTCGGACGCTACTGCACGAAGGGTCGCGGAGAGGCTATCGTGGGGTATGCAAATTAGGTTCACCAAGATGTGATCCCATGCTTCTCGATCGACCTGAGCCACAAGGGTGGTGGATGCGAGGGGAGTCGAACGCAGAGAGCTTGTTGCGCTGAGAATATCCTCCAGTGCTGGCGCTGTCAGTGTCTTGGCCTATGAACTACATTTGAAGATCGGCGTACCTTTCGTCTGCTCCTGCTCCAACTTCAAGGCGACTGTTACAGCGCTCACTGTCGTCTTGCTCGGAACTGACCAGACTGAACCTAGGCGCCGAAACTTGGCGTAAGGAGACAGTCCAGGGGCGCGGATTGAGCGGGTGACTGTCTGGCGAAGATATGTCTCCGCAGGGGGTAGAGCGCCAGTGCGACTACCACGCGTGCCAAATGGGCCGCTGGGATGCTCGAAGATGGTGTACGCATTGCTGAAGAAGTACGGCGCGGCCGGAAGAGAAAAGCAACTCGCGCGTAGTCCGAGGTGAGCCATGTCGGCGGCTTTGTCGGGTTACAGAGAGTGGTGGATGATTTGACGACTCGCGCGAGTGGTGAGACGGTAGAAAACTGTTGTTTGTATATATCAATTTCCAAGCGCGTGATCTAGGCGTCACTGGGAACTTTCGCGGTTCTGGGTTAGCGTATCGTAGTGAAGTGTACACTTGAAAGGGGCTCGTGCTTTCTGACGTAGGTCGAAGTAGTGAATCTTGAGCAGAACCTTCAAAGAGTGCACGAAAAGGGTTATGGGTCGTGGCCATACAGTCACGGCTGCAAAGGGCGCCTATGTTGGCGCGCAGCCTATGTCAGTCGCGGAATGAACGCGGTTTCTAGAGTAGCTATCATATACTCTTTACTTTACCAGAACGATTGGGCACCTGTTTGCTGTAGACACTCCAGACGTGTCGGCTTGCTGACGCTGTTTGTGAAGAGCTACTCTCCCATGGCCTCCTTAAAACCAACGGTAGACGCATACAGCGCACAGGTCACGCTCGCGGTAGCCATTCCCTGAAGCCGCCGTCGATCATATGGAAGCCTGAAATTCCATACTTGCCACTTTTTTAGTGTGAACGTGAAATCTGGCCTTCTTTTTCGCAGTTAGGTGTTCCGGAAACATGTAATCGACCCGAATATTGGCGGTGTCCACCTCGCGGTAGGCAGCGAAGTACCAGGAAAATTCCACAATCATTTCCAATTATATCCATGCTCTTTACAAAGTTGGCTGTCGCTCGTGACAGCATCTATGAAGACATGGTTTATGTGTCCACCCAAACTTCGAATGGGGAGCGAACGCGATCGGGCAGCTTCAGCTGTGCGGGTTCCTGAGGCATGCTTGAGCTAGGAAGGGTTATGGGTTTCTCCCTCGAAGATGCAATCATGAGCGTAGTAGGCGGACGTTGCGTAAGGATGGCAGCTGGGTGTAGTTGAAGAGACAGGAGGAAGCTACGCTGGGTTGAGGTTTGCCGATGACGTCATAGACAAGCGCCGGCATTACCCGGCACCCCTGGCCGCTTGAGGGCAGTCGCGGCTACCGAACACGTCCTTTGCGCTCCTATTGCCTTATACACATCTACTCTGGTCGTTGCGACAGCTACATGTAGCGGCAATCACTCCAACGGTGTAGTTGCAGCGCACGTGTGGACCTATGTCAGACACTACGCCGCAGCAACTTACGGAAGAACTCCAGCTGCACAAAATTACTCTCGGTCTACGATCTCGCTAGTACCAGCACGCGGAAAATGCGAAGCAATCCTCGAATACTAAAAGCGCTGCTATCAAAGACACTCGTAAGCAAGGCTGCTGTCAGACTCATCGATCTGCGTTTCGCGAACAGAATCACACGAAAGTTCACAACAATACAACTTGCAGTTGTCGCATATTCAGATTACACATCAAAGGTATCGGTAAGATAATCTTGAACTTTCAAAAATCCTAGTCGACCCCTATATCGACCGGCATGCCTCCGACGCCTAGTTCGGACGGTACGTGCATTGGCGCAGTGCGGACTACGGTCACCACACAGCACAGCAGATTCCAGGGCCTTTCAGGCGTATTACAACCCCTAGAAGGCCACAAAGCCGATGTAATTGTCATTCGAGACTGGTCAAGGTCTCCGTACGCTCATCACTGCTTTTTGTCGTCCGTTTGTGGCCTCGATCGGCCAGAACGTGACAGGAAATTGAGCCGACCAATCGACATCCCGACGTGACGCGCGAGGCCTTCAGCTCGCTTCAGCTGGCAGAACGAGAACTAATGAAGAAGCGCAAATGCGTGTCAGCCCAGCAGACACATCGCAGATAGCGATCCTATGGGCTTTTGATAAATAGCGCCATCGCGCTGCGATATTGTACAATTACATCTTCTTCCATGGAACCTCTTCTGAATATCACGGCTGTACTATCTGCGAACAAATAGAATGGTCTAAACTTTAAGCCTATGGGTAAAATACATCGCACGATGGCAAGCGGCGCCCACACTGGAGATTCTCTTCCGACCAACTTACATTCTCCGGCAACTCCCAAGGCTGCCACCGGGTTTGGGTCATACGCCGAGTATCTGGCAAAACTGGAGAGATCGCCTGTCAAGCCTTCTCACACTGTCAGCAGCGATGAATTGTGGTTAGCAAGCTTCGATGGAGACGGTCATTTTATGGAATGGAATTACTGTTATCCACACTCAGAGAACATCACCGAAGCTCCAAAGGAATTGCCCGGCCTAGACGAAAGCGGTGTCAGACATCACACAAGAAGCCTTTCCCCTCATGGCTTTCGAACGGTACTACAAACCCCAGATGAACATGTGGCCTACAGGGTAATTATAGTGAGTGCTGGAAGGATGACCGCCATTGACTCTAACACGCAAGACATTCTCGGCCTCGGTCTGGACCTGGGACCTGAACCATTCGAATTCGCGCAAAATTGTGTTGAAAATTCGTACTTTGAAGATCACCGTGTGTTGCCTCGACCTTGGCACAAGGTTCCTCCGGCTTTACATTTAGGAAAGAATGTTCTGTACATTCCTAAAGCTGGCCCAGAGAAGGAGTCCAAAACTGGTAACTGAAATCTCACAGTTTCATGCGGTTTTCTGACTAGTAATGCAGCAATCCTATTTCTGGGAAGCACTTTCCATTGTGGGAATTTAGGACCTGTAGTCTCCACCAGCTCCAGAATGTTCCCACCCAAAAGACCATCACAAATTCCGGAAAGGTCAAATGATAGATCTGATCAGCCGACAGAATACTATGAGAGCACATGGCTTGTTCAGCGCTTCATCACGTCAGGGATCGGCTCCGACAATTCATTTGGCAACGGCAATTTTCTCTACGTTTGCTTAGCGGCGCTAGTTGAGCTACAACTATGTACACTGCCCTCAAATGTGCCTTATATCGGTATGCATGGTTTGGAGTCTCAGGTGGAGTTAGAATATTGCGGGGAATACCGATGGGGTTCCGAAGGACCTTTGGTCTTTGCTGCGGACCCAAGCATGATATGGGCTCGATTGAGGAAGGACGTCGATGACCAACGAACTACAATGCGCTGGATAACACGCTTCTTCCGGAAACACTTCGACTACAGTAATCAAGCTATTCAAGCAGCTTTCGATGAAACCATGGAATGCTTCAAGTTCCGACTACAAGATCTCGAACAATCCGAGTCACGACTCAGAGATCATCTAGCGGCGGAAGCCACAAGCAAGAGTATTCGTATGGCAGAAATGAGCATCCGTGAGAGCAAAAGAGTCATGCTATGTACGGGAAGATTCCCACGCAAGCTACTACAAATGCTAACACTTTCCAAGTGACGGCTTTCGCATTCGTCTTTCTACCCATCTCTCTTGCATCTTCAGTGTACGGAATGGTAAGCACCTTGTTTCCTGCTGGTGGGTATTTTCCCTAACAGTCATCGCAGAATGTACAGCAGATCAACGGTACCGGCCATTCTATCAGAGCTTTCGTGATTACAGGAATTGCTATGTGTGCATCTTCTGTATTACTGTGGGTCACCGCTGCTGCTTTCCAATCCTATAAAGCCCGCCTAGAAAGCAACCGAGGGTCAGGTCGTGGGGAGTACCATGGGCCGTGGTATGAAAAAGCCATCCTGGGAATACCGCCGTATTCATGGAGATATTCATGGCAACGAGTCCGGTGGAAGTGGGATTATCTTAGAGAAGCATGCGGGTGGAGTTCTGGTGTGAAAGCTTAAGGCCTACACACAAGCGACATTCACGCCGCTGGTCTACTCGATTTTCGGTTGTAACTTTGGATTACAGGATGATCGACTTGGTTTACCTGTTGTTTGGAATTATTGCAGGTCGGCTCGTAGCAGCATGAGTAGGCACGAGGTCATTGAAGACAAATGATGTACGCTGCAAGTTAATGGATGCATCTTCATGCAAAGCAATGCATTGTGCGCCATGGGCTCAGGAGTGAAGAGCGGACGAAGACCTTCAGTTCCGCATGAGTACGAACTCAGAAGTCCGCCTGCCAACGCTCCAAGGACTCTTCTCATAGCTCCGCCACGGATAAAGATCAACATGCCAGTCAGCCACGAAGGCGGAGTTCGGGCCATGTGCGTCCGTGGTGTATCCTCGTAGAGAGAATATGGCGCGCCAAGTATCCCTTGCCACGCTGTACATCGTCAACTGTAAGACTCGGGCTTATCTCGTAGAAGCGGTGAGGCTGTTCACATTGAGCGACGAACACGGCGGGCAGTGTTGTTATCAGTGGATTTCGTCCGCGCACTTGGCAGTCCGCGACGTACCGGAGTGAAGCGCTCAAAACGAACTTTTTGATTAGACGGTCGGCGGTGGGCCAGTTTGAACGATTGAATGATCTGCAAGCGGTTGTTTTGACGTGCATGGGCCACTCCAGACTCAGATTGGACTTGGCGGGCAAGCGCGACGAGGTGATGACATCATCAGCTTTGGCTGAAGCGCGCACCGAGGCACACATGTTCAAAACTCATGAGGCTGGTGAGAATGCGATATAGACATTCTGAATCAAGTCTCTGCAGTTTCTGAGACAGCGTGGCGATTAGTGAGGGAAATATGTGACGATATGCTCCACTTCCCCTGGGCAACCTGGCAGCTCCCGAGCTAAACCCCGCTTGGCGTCTACACAGCCTACCTCACCAACCACCTCGTCATCTCAACCGGCCAGGAAAACAGCAAGCCAGCACTGCCCTCCTCCCCCTCTCGATAACTAACCACTTTCGCCGGGTCCTCGCTGCGAAGACACAACCTCAAAGCATTTGCCAATTCTCCTAGCCTGTATTCCGCCAATCGCAGGGCGTGCATTCGGCAGCTACCTACCAGACCAGTGAGCTTGGCTTCGACAAGTCATATACTGCTAGCTTTCCCGCGCCGTGCGCATCTGACTCTTCTCCCGAACAGCAATGAGTGAGTAACAATGGCCCTTTTGATTCATTTTCCCG